CAAGCTCCGTCAGGAACCTAGTGGGGTCCATCAGTCGCCTGGGACGGAACCATCTTTGTGGTTCCGTCTCCCTGCGGCGGGGGGGAGCGGTCCGGAAATCCAGCTTCAGGAGTGAATGATCTGACCATGACAGGGGCTCAATAACTACCTCCCCCATTTCCAGATCATTCTGCCACTGGCCAGAGACAAAAATTAGATCCAGTGTGTGTCCCCCCCGTGTGAGTGGGGGCATGTACCAACTGGGTCAAGTCCAAGGCCGTCATGGAAGCCAAGAACTCCTGAGCTGCCGCCGACGCCTCGCCCACCGATGGCAGGTTGAAATCCCCCATTATTTTTAAATTAAGATTCATATTATTAATTTTTGAGTATCAAAATATTTTATAGTGAATATTTTTGTAATTTTATCTGATGTGTGGGAAGCACTGTCTGTCTCCATGGTCATGTGATCAGAATTTGGATGCTTGACAACTGGCATGTTTTTATGATGGTTGCAGTATCCTGGGATCATGTGATCATATTTTTCAATCTTCTGTCAAAGTCAGTGGGGAAGCCATATTCAGTTAACAGCCATATTGCTAACTTAACAACTGATTCACTTACCTGTGGGAAAAATGAGGTAAAAACCACTTAACAACTTGCTTAATTGTGGATGTAAGTTGGGGATTACCTGTACACACACACACACACACACACACACACACACACACACACACACACTGCACAAGATGATTGGAATCTTAAACATTAAATGTATATGAACTATACTAAATAAGAAAACCAAACTTTGCTGTTAATTAAATTATCGATCCATATACAGGATTGTTATTCATAAGTACTTGTGTAAACTAGGGCATCTGATATCTTTGCTTTAAATTAGGCATGTCAAACTCGTGACGACATGTGATGTCGCGTGACGTATTGCAACTTTTCCCCCATTGCTGGCAATGGAGTGGGTGCGGTTTCAGTATGATGCATCCGGCCCATGGGCCGGCAGTTTGACATGCCTGCTTTAAGTCATCTAGCAAAGGGGAAATTAATGAAATCTCTTCAACAGGGATTTATTTATTTCAGCTCTCCTGTTTGTTGTAAGAAGAAGAAAAAGTAACTTTTGTTTATGTTATAGTTTATTATAGTTTCCATACAGTTTTTGTAACCATTACATACTGACCAAAAGATGTATTCCTAATCCTAATATTATTTATAAGCAGAAAGTATTCTAGGGCATGGGAATATAAAGCAACTTCGTTTGTATCTGTCCTTGTAATGTAGTAGAGATAATGTCTGTCAGTGGGGATTTAGCACACATATAACTTTCTTGTTTCTTTGAGCAGTTGTTTTGACATTAATTTCTCCGCAATATGTAATAATTATTTTTCTCTTTTTTTAGGAAGAATGTGTTATAAATCATATAGCAGCAAAAATTGTTGAAAATGTATGTTCTACTATCTCTCCTCATGCTCAAGGATTTATTACTGGAGAAATTGGACTAGTATTGTGGTATCTTTTTATGCATTCCACCATAGATTCTTTGAGAATAACTGCTATTTCAGTAAGTTTTTTGTTTTTGTTAGGTCTGCAAGTTAGCCTATTTGAGGCAGTTTGGTTGAAAAGGTTTTGTCCTATGATGCACTATTTCACCCAGTTAAAGATTTTAATATACGAGACAACTTGTGCTCTTTGGGATCACTGTATCAGAGATATTTCCTTACCAGATTCCTTCCTAAAGACAGAGATTCTAATGTATTGCTTTCATTGGAAAAGTTGGGATATATTCAGAGATGTATCTGCCTTGAAAATTGCCCATGTTGAACTGTGTAGCATAGTTAAACATAAGGAGAGGAAATGTTTTCTAATATTTTGCATTATGTGATAAACTGTTATATAATATTTTTGTCATAAAATGTTTTATAAAATTTGTCAAATTTCAATTCCACATGGAAAATGAGTCCTGGACTTTGAACATATTCTGTTAAATTAACCCGTTTAAAATATTTGGTTCTTTTGTCCTAGTTAAAGGTTACAAGAATCAATATTAGCTTTATATAGATGTAATTATACAAATATGTAAATCAATGCAAAATGTATAAATCACATCAGCTAAATTTGGATATAAAATTCCTTTAGATTTAATAGGTATACCTTGCCTCAAATTGTTCATTTAATTGATATTTAACTGTAACAGAAATGCATTTTTAAAATGATTTATTTAGTATTACCATTACATTTAAGCATTTTATACCTTGATGCTTTCTATCAAATGTGTATGTGCAATGTTAGGAAGTGTATTCGTATGATTTCCTAAACAAAGGAATTTTATCATGAAGTTAAAAAAAGATACCTGCTGATTTCCCCATCAGTTTGATACAAACAACTTGTATCAGTTAACCTAACTTTGTGATACAGCTTCAAAAAGTTAATCTATGTGGCAAAGCTCTCCTACTTATGGAATAGCCTACATTTTAAAATTAAAAAATCATTTTAAAAGATATTTTGAAAGATAAAACATAGAGATCTTGTTGCTCTTTGACCTTGGTTGTTTGCTTGCAGATGTTCCATTAGCCAATCAGATAATATAATAATTGTGACTCACGATTAATGATGTTACCTAGTTGGGTAACAAAACATTGGCAAGCAAAGAACCAAACTCAAAGAGCATCAAGAATTCCGCAACTGTTCAACCCTGAACCATATATATTCCCTTATATTGAAGTTAAAATATAATAAAAATAATTAATTGGTAGGAAGCAAGATTTATTTAAAAAATTAATAGAATAATGAAAGTTATAATCTTATGCTTTTCCTCAAAAGGCTAATGGAACTATCTCATTATGCTTTTTAACTGTGGTCAACTATATTGAGAGACTTGAAGCTATGTTGAATTTATATTTATTACAGTTATTTAAACAGAATTTGTTTTATACAGGCATTGTGTAAAATTACGCGGCACTCACCTAGTATTTTCCAGAATGTTATTGAGAAGGTGGGATTAATAGCTGTGATACATTCACTTGCAACGGGAATTTGCAGAGTTCAACAGTACATGCTGACAATGTTTTCTGCTTTGTTATCATGTGGTATCCATTTGCAGAGGCTGACTCAAGAAAAGGTTTGATTTAAATTTGCTCTCTATATTGTGAAAAAGCATTTGTATGAACTTATTTGAGTAATAATTTTAAACTTTGAAACATCAAATTAATATTAAATTAACTTTTCAATTGCTAATTTCCCTATTTTGTGTTCCCAGCCTGTTATTACATGTGATTTCATTTTATTGTGTTTCTAAAATCTATTTTTTTCATTCTGTTGTTTTCTTTTCTTCCTTCCATTTTTCTCTTCATCCTCCACCAATTTCTTTCTAAGTTTGATAAATTCCATAGTATTGTCTTCTATCCATATCACAATCATTGCATAGTTAAGATTGTGGTTTCGGTTGAGTCCATTTTTTATTCATTGTTTCCACTTAGCTGCATTCAAGTTTCATTATTCCTATGGCTTTGGGGAAAATGCCCTCTTCAGTGGAACTACCATCACAATCTAATCCTTTTCTTCAGACGTCTGTACAGCTGTTTCTCTGATTTCCAGTACATGTCAGTCTTGAAAAGCACAGGTGCTTAGAGGATGAAATAGTAAAGGGAGCAATGATGAAATGTGTGTCATGATGCAAATACTCTCTCTCTTTTGTACTTGTACCATAACACAGGCACAAAAGGAAAATATTTGATGTATTAATGTCACAACACATATTGTACCATTTTAACAAAATCTTGCTTCAGACATTTGATTAGGAATAGACAATGGTTAGGTTTTCAATTGAAATTTAGTTAATGGCCTTGTTATAGTTGTTCATATTTCTCTGTGTTTCCCTTTTATCATGAATATATAACTGTTTTTTCTCAACTGATAGTCCTCAATTTACATCAATTCATTTACTGATTATTCAAAAATTACAAAGGCATTGAAAATAGAGACTTATCACTATATTTCACACTAACACAATCGTGGCAGCATCCCCATGATCATTTGATCAGAAATTGAACACTTGGCAACTGGTTCATATACATGACAGTTGAAGGTCATGTGATCATCTTTTGGGACCTTCTGACAAGCAAAGTCAATGGGGAAGCAAATTCACTTTACAGTTGTGTTAAGAACTACGGTAATTCACTTAAGAACTGTGGCAGGAAAGGTTATAAAAAGGGGCAAAACTCATTTAAAAACTGTTTTGCTTTGCAAAAGTAATTATGGTCGTAATTCAAGGACCACCTGTGTTATAGTTTTCTTTAAAGTTTTGTTTCTCATTTAAATATTTATTTCTGAATATTTTGTTAATATCTCCTTCTGATGATTTCAGATAGTCTTCGATTTACAAATTGGTCTTTAACAATTGTTCAAAGTTATGATGGCTTTGAAAATGTGCTTTGCAGTCCATAAAGCAGATCCAGTTATAAAATATCTCTCTCTCTCTCTCTCTCTCTCACACACACACACACACACACACACACACACACACACACACACACACACACACCTCCATAGTCAAGTGATCACAGTATTGGTATTTGGAATCCATTCATGCTTATGACCAGTTGTCAAGCAGCCTGTGATCATCACCATTTGCAGCGTTCTCTGCCAGCTTCCCCAGAAAGTTATGGGAAAAGTTGGCCGGGAAAGTTGCAAGCTAATGCTACGTGCTACAGAATTTCCCTCCCCTCCATGCATTGGGGTGGAAGTGGAAATTCTTCATCAGGCTTCAAAAACAAAGTTTGGATCACATTTCATCTCTCCAATGCAGTGCACAAGTTCACTCTCTCACATGGATGGGAGAGGAATTTCTACCTGAGCTGAAGAATCAAAGTAAGGATCTTGGTGTTCCCTGCCTCATTTTTTTCAGCCCAGTGCAGTGAGTTCCCATGCATGACAGGCAGCCCCTATGACTCCATCCATTTAACGACCTGCCCAGTTACTTAACAACTGCAGCTGGGAATGCCAGGATTGCAATCTTGATCAAACAGTCACTACATGAATGTCTTAGTTAACAATCATTTTGCAATTTTGGCTAAACTAGCATACATCTGAATATCATTAAAAGAGAAAACGATAACTAAAATAAGCTGAAGATAAAAAAATGAGAAGTAAAATTTGACGTAGCTTATCCCAAGAGATAGCATCAATTGTATGAGTTCCTGTTAAAAGTCAATAAATTGTATGAGCTGAAATATTGCTATTAATTAAAAATAACACTAAGATTAAAAAAATAATAATAAAGACAACTGACACACTCCTTCCGAGGCACTTAAAAGAAACAAAATGAGTTACTGACTGGATCTAAAGTTACACTTCAATTATGCTATCTTTAGAAAACATAAGCTAATTTATGTGAAATATATTAATACCCTCTTTAAAATAATATTTTCAGTAAATGTGACATTTCTATTTTACCATTCATAGAGTAAAGATAAAAGTGTAGGGAAGTAATTGTGTAGGGAAGTAATTGTGATTCTTGTAATTTAGTTAGGTTGTGATAAAGACCTTTGTTTCCTTTAATATAATAATCTCATCATTAAAGGATAAAGGATATAATCATTATTATGTATATCTTGCATTTAATTACATATAATAATGTGGGAATTAGGCAAAATTGGAAAGAATTATTCATTAATTTATATTACCATTCTCTGTAGAAATGTATCATTTAAACTAATTTTAGATAAATATTATGGTTCAAATATATTTGTAATTTGTATATTTCATGCGAATTACCATAATTTATGTAATTTGACTATATTTTTCTGATTGCATTTTGATCACAAAGTGAATTGCATATATAGGATTTTGTTATCGACTTATTAATTTTTGTAATTTGTAATCTATTTTTTATTTATATATATATATATTTTCTAATTACTTTTCATATTATCAGTAAATTGGATCTTCCTAAGAATGGTCTTAGTTTGTCACAATACAGGAAACAGCTCAAAAATTACATTTTCTCGTATCCTGAAAGAAAAACACATTAAGAGGCATTTGTTCAAAGTACAGCAGACTTGGACAATTCCATAAACTTGATACATCTCTCTTAAAATATCTTTGTAAATATATTTTTGATTAGTTTAGTTATTGCTGAGGTATCCAGATTGGGGGGCGGTGAGGAAAAGTAAATTATAAAACCAAGATCTGTCCCTTTCATATATAGCTCATAGAGCTTATTTTGATTACATTTATATTCTGCCCTTTGGAGGGGAAATAAAGATAGCATATATAGGAATCTACCATTTGATCCTCTCAAAACCTAGTATATTGAGAGAAGGTGACTGAGAATTTATTTATTTATTTATTTATTTATTTATTGAATTTATATCCCGCCCTTCTCCTTGCGGACTCAGGGCGGCTGACAATCAGTTAAAAAATACATCAATAACAATTACAAAATTAAAATTAGTTAAAAAGAAATATTTAAATGTTGTCTAATTAAAATATGATTAAAAACCCCTCTAAAAATTGCCCTAGGCCAGTCC